GGGTGAATGATAATGGATGGACACCACATTTTCAAGCCGTTTACCATAGGCGGTAAATTACCGACTGCACCTCTAGTGCTTGAGCGATCTAGAGATGGCAGCGGCTTAGATAGATGTATGTACAAACGTATAATACGGCTTAATTCTCGTCGTCTTTCGTTACATTTTATTCAAATAAATAAATAAATAAAATGTAACGAAAGACGACGAGAATTAAGCCGTATTATACGTTTGTACATACATCTATCTAAGCCACTGCCATCTCTAGATCGCTCAAGCACTAGAGGTGCAGTCGGTAATTTACCGCCTATGGTAAACGGCTTGAAAATGTGGTGTCCATCCATTATCATTCACCCTGTATTGGAATAATCGTAAATAAAATTAACGCGAAGAGTTGTAGGTTAAAGCATTCTTGGACGTTACTGCGCGCTTCACATTCGTATAATTAACGTCCGTATCGATCGCTTTCAAATGATATTCTCTTTGCATCGCAGATACCGGCCGCGAGTCCACTGCAGTTCCATTCGATCGTTCGTCGTCTTCGCGAGTACTTTCTCTCACAAGTGTTCTGCTGTATTTCGATTTTTAAGCCTTACGCAAGTCGCGTCTTTCGCGTAAAATATAAATTTATTGCGTAAAAATATATTACGTAAACAATACTGAACCAGTCGCGCACCGATATATCGAGCGAAGCTTCGACGACGCGCGACAACGCACGGCTTGTCCGCGGTCGCGCGAGATGGCGCCACCGTGTCTGTCGCGTAGGCGATACGGCCGTGATACGCGTATACGATTCTGCCGTAGTGCTGCTAAAATGGCCGCGACCGTTTCCGCGAATTCGAGTGCAGTGTTGTGAGTGTGCGTGCATTTCGACGAGTGGACCATCGCCTGGCAGGGGCCTCGCCGACGCGGGGGGCTATCCCGAGGCGTGACCGACAGTTCTGCGCCGCTGGTGAGTCATGACATTTCGTACGGGACGAGATTGGGCGACGTGACGGTCGCGGTACCCAACGGGCGAGCGTTTATCGTAGCTGTCACCCGCGACCCGCCGGCGGGTCCCGGTCGCCGCTGACGGTGACACGGCGATCGTCTCGCCGTACGTAGATCGGCCACGCTCGGCGACCCGTCCGTAATTCTCACGCGTGGGCATCGCTTCCGTCCGTGCGAACATCACGTACGTGCATTTCCCGTCCCACGTACTTGCGCGCGGTCTGCGCAAACGCGCCGGCCCCCGAGGTTCGATGTCCTGCTCGGCGCTCCGCTTGACGTCACTCACTGACAGCGGCTGTCACCTGTTTCCGATGACGTCACTGACAACGATGACGTCAGCGATCCCCGCAGCATCCCGTAGTGATTTTCCTCTCTCTCTCTGTCCCGATCCCGGCCTTATTAATACCTACTTATGTCACAGACTTCGCGCCGGTTTTGTCGTACCTGTCAATATTGTCGGCGCACTACACATCTGTCCAGAAATTTCAGGGAATAGCGCGTCAAATTTCATATATATCGAATATTTCATTACAAATACCTCTTAGTTGTCAAATTGATGCTGTCGAACGTAGCAGTTTTTTTTTCACTTTTAAAGAGAGTACTAAAAAATTGAGGAAAGGTATGCCACAAATGTGACAGATGTAACGACGATGTCATTAAGCCAATAAGAAGGGTGAAGAACTTATTATTCGCGAAAAGAAAGATTTCAATTGGCGTTTAAATGTTTGCCGTTTAAATATTGCATGAATCTTCTATGATGTCATGGCTCAGTAGAGAACTTCTGATTTCACGTTTCGCATAATCGCGCGAGACACCTAATTTTTCGGCATTTATAATAGCCAACAGGTTCATTGATGTGAGTGCGCTTAGAAAAAAAACATGTTCCCGCTCTCGTGAATTTCGTGTGTGCATTGTGTCTCGTAATAATTTCGTTATGTTCCAAATTAGTTAATAATCATTCACGCTACCTTCTGTCACGTGAATGATTATTAACTAATTTGGAACATAACGAAATTATTACGAGACACACTGCACACACGAAATTCACGAGGGCGGGAACATGTTTTTTTTTCTAAGCGCACTCACATCAATGAACCTGCTGGCTATTATAAATGCCGAAAAATTAGGTGCTTCGCGCGATTATGCGAAACGTGAAATCAGAAGTTCTCTACTGAGCCGTGACATCATACCCATGGTATGACGTAGGCGAGTGGTATAATGTAGATGACGCTGGCATTACGCGATGCTTACGTCAGATGGCGATCTACGCGATTGCATCACGGAGCGTCATGATGTTGCATAAGGCAGAGCAACATTCTTGTTAAGGGCCGTTACGCGCAGATGCTGGACTAAGTGGTTTACCGTATGCGCTGGCAAGTCGAGACGCGCTGTAACATTTATATTTTTGTTTTTAAAATCATCTCGAGGAAGAAAGAATCCTTGCTCAATATTTTTTTAATATTTCAATTTTCAAAATTCCAAAGTTAAGAGCAAGAGCGGTATTTGGCATATTCTTCGGATTGTTGCAGACTTATTTGGTATTTGGAATTGAATGGAGCTTTGTATAACTAAATTTGTAATATTAAACTTAAAATATATTTTGTAAAATAAGTGATACAAAAATTCAGTATCTATTATTTTATTTTAAAGTCAACGGTGCTTCAGTAATTTTAGATTTACCTGGCACAGAGTGGATAATGGATTTCATCTCTCAGGAGATTGTAATGCTAAGGTTACGCGTTCTGTCGTGGGTGTACAGGGATGCGAAATTACGGACAATTTCCTAATATCGTTCGGGCATAAGAAATTTACGGTTATAGCCGGTACCGCGGTTGCAATAATATTCCAATTCACGGGTCTAAGATATTGATCTTAATTTGAATCTGGGCGCCGGCTTAATTCGGATCAATTGACCCATTAATTAATAGGAGTGTAACGATCGATTGACCACTGTGGGAATAATTAGGGGGAACTGTGTAGCCTAAAGTAACAAAAAATTAAATAAATATAATTGCGTTTTCTTACGCTTTTCCCTCGACTAACGCCCCGAAACGTTCTGAATTATTAATAAAATCGATATTTAACAAATTAAATTAGAAATATCGCACGATAACAATTTTTTAGCGTGCTAAATCAGGCTCCCCCCTTAATCGTGTGTCTATTTTTATTTTTGTTATATAAGTGCGATTATATTTTCGTATACACTTGCGCTTTCATAACTTGGCTCCGAGTTTTCTCGGAACGTAAAATTGGCGGTAAATCAGAGTTAATCCATTTTAATCTGCGAATTTAATTGATTAGTTTCTGAAATCCATCTGGAAGAAGGGTTCCTCTCCTCTTTTCTTAAGCTCTTTTCTTATCCCAAGCAAATATCGTGATTAAATTCCTTCGTAGTTCCTTCGGGGACGCCCGTAGAAACGCTCGGCACGCATTTGCCATCGGTATAGAACCGCAATGTGGTTAATACGGCACGGTGGAAAATCGCTATGGAGTGATTTATCACAGTCGATTTAAAACATCGGCTCTCCGGTATAGCTGGATTAGAAATTGCAGTTAGTTTACTTCGGCGAAACGTACGGGATTTCCGGATTGCCATTAAGAGACAAATTGCGTGACCATCACGTTAGACAAATGTCTGCGGAGCTATCCCGCAAGATTTCCGGTTTATCCAAGGCTCCAACTCTCGAAACCAGTTCGATCGGAGCGGAGATTCGAATAAAGGCGCGAACATTTTTAGTTGAGGAATCGCGGCGCGAATCGCGCTTCACGGAATCCCTCGTAGATGCCGCCACGACCATCGAATCCCCAACACTTTTGCAGAATTAATTTAAAATTGTTCAAATCTACGTAGCCATGAGATAAAAATTATTTACAATCGAATTCTTTACTAAACGATTTAGCGTAAAATAAAACGGTGGGATTAAATTAAAAGAAATCGAATGGCGCTTTCCGAAGAATAAAAAAAGATTGCAATTTTATAATT